CAAGATATAAATTAATGATACATAGAAGTTATTTTATAAACAAGATATAAGTTAATGATACATAGAAGGTATTTTATAAACAATATATAAATTAATGACACATAGAAGGTATTTTATAAACAAGATATAAATTAATGACACATAGAAGATATTTTATAAACAAGATATAAGTTAATGATACATAGAAGGTATTTTATAAACAATATATAAATTAATGACACATAGAAAGTATTTTATAAACAAGATATAAATTAATGACATATAAAAAGTATTTTATAAACGACTGAACTTCTACTTGGGTCTTTTTGTTTAAGCTAACGAATGAGTTTTCAATGCTTTACTTTTTTAATTCATCCGTTATAATTTTCTATTTAAGCGGCTGTTTCAGTTACATCAAAGCATAGTTGACTTGAAAAGAACGAAGCAATGGCACTGTCAATAGGTTTATAGAAATGTTTATTTTAAGAGACATGGAAAAATAACTTCTACAAAAGAACACAATTGAATAGTATAGTCTGTCAGTAAGTTACATTTATTCTCCTAGATTCGCTTACATACACACACATACCTATATTTATCATGTTTTAAACTCTTATTTAAAAAAAAAGAACAACAACATGAATTATGACTTTGCTAAAAAAAAAATTCTATTTTGCCAACTTTTCCATAAATTAAACGTCTATTTTTTTCAGAGCCCTCTATCTACAGAATACTTCAGCATTATCAAAGGATACTATATCGGCTACAAAGTTGAAGTAAGTGATAAGAACTTCATCTACAAATCTGTGGAAGCTCCTGGCCGTATTAAGCCGAACGAGTACGAACTAAGAAATCTTCTTCCAGGAACAAGCTACATTATAGTGGTCCAGGCTTTTAACGATAAAGGAGTGGGCCCTGCTTCTAAGGAGACTAATGTTAAAACCCCACAGTTCGGTGTGAATAATTTTCATGCAGTTTGATATGTAGTCTAGTTCTTAATAAGGAATTATTTAGTACTCGGTCTGTGTCCATGCTTATATAATAATGAAATAATTGTATTATAAAATTGAATGTTGAGCATATCACAGTATATTTTTATGTCAAAGTATAAATCATAAGTCAGAGCCATATATTTTTCGCCATTAATGCTTACACACTGGCAGCTGCTTAAGAAAGGGGATAATTACATTTGAAACCGTAGCACCAGTTTAAAATATTTGATTTTCAAAATAACAAAACTAAGTTCGAAGAAACTAAAACTTATTAAATTATTTAATCTGAAAACTAAATTATACCTAATTAATGACCTACAACTAGTGAAAGACTATATATTGTGTAACACATTAGTACTAAAACATCTCAATACTATTTTTTACTATTAAGATGCACCTGATCCTCCGAGACTGAGTCTATCATCCACCTCATTTTCGTCAATTGAAGTTTCATGGAGGACCTCTAATCGGAAAAATCAACCAATATCAGGTATTTGTTCTTTTTAGAGCTTAATTTAGTCTAGTGGTTAGCATGTAGGGCTTCGGATGGAGGTCCTGGGGTTCGAAATGCTGCTGAATACGTTCCACACTCTCATCTGTAGGCGTGTTATAAAAGTGAAAATCAATTATTCGGTTCAAAGATCCAGAAAAGATAACATAAACACCTTAACGCTTGTGTCTGTTTGTTTGTTTTAGAGCAAAGCCACATTCCTGTGTCCACTGCGGGTAGTCGAACCGCAGATTTTAGCGTTGTAAGTCCGTAAACTTCCCGCTGTCCCACAGGGAGATCCTGACGCTTGAGAAGATTTGTCGATGAACATTTCAACTACCAAAAAGAAAGTGAAATGAAATTTCTAAGAGTTTAAATATAAGATCACTTGCTCTGAAAAGGATGTATTGTTTTAAGTTTTTTAAATGGTTTAAAAGTAGAAACAAAATTATTTTTTCTGAATACATTGGCAATTTGGCTAGTTATACCTTGTATATATGCTAACATTACTGCACTGTTAACTTTATTATCATAGACACTGTTTAATCTAGTACATTGCTGGATAAAAATTGGATTATATTTTTTGTAGCGTACGTTCAATGATATAAACATTATAACGTCTGTCGTTAGCAATGCTTTTTATATAATTCAATTCGTTTTCCAAATTAGTAGAATCAGAATAAATTTTAAATGCTCTGTTTATATAAGTATGAAAAGGTGTTAGTGTTTGAGAAAATGAATGACATGATCTTTGATGTGGCGGCATGGAGACTGAATATGGTTTCCCCAAAACAGTTGTGAAAATTGTTCCATTATTATTTCTTTTAAAAATACGTCTAAAAAAAATAAACATTTATCTTGTTCAGTCTCATACGTAAACTGAATAGACTTAGTAGGATCAATATTGTTTAGATAATCAACAAATGTTTTTAACTCAAAATCTCCATGCCGTCAAACCAAGAACGTGTTATCAACAAATCTAATTGAACACTCAGGTTTTAAAAGAACATTAAGAGCAATACTATCCATATAAAGGTCACATAGGAATTGAGAAAGAAGTGAACCCTTGGCTAATCCAATATTCTGTTCATAATACTTTTCATTAAATTTGAGAAAATAATTTACAACACACATTCCAGTTAAATTAATAATTTCAACAATTTCGATTGGAGAAATGGTGGCTTGAACTAATCTATCATCAAAACAATTAATAGCATTGACCAAATAAAATTTCATTATGCATTTTAAACGTTTATCTTGTTTTTAATTTTAAAATGTTATACTCTTTTATCATGGGAATTTTATTTGTAATTTGTGGTCTTGATACCTCAGAATAATACAGATAACAATGAATCAACTTTTACACGTTGAACCCAAGAGGCAATGTTGATTTTCTGTAGGTTTCATTCTACATTACCGTCAACAGCCACGTGATTGGGTTCAGATTCAGATCCTTGGAGACAAAACCAGTTACTCTCTTCAGGGCTTGAACTGTGGAACCGGCTACCAGATGTACGTCATCGCTTTTAATAGCATGGGAAGAAGCGATCCCAGTGATGTAATTTCAGGGGTCACCAATGGTTCTGGTGAGTTTCAATATAGATGCACATTTGATTTTTAACCATTTCGATTAAGATATCTATAGATTTGACATTCAAGTATTTAATGACATGTAATGATATCTATTCTGATAAAAGAGCCATCACACAGGATCACAAATAAAAAGTGCAATGAATTTCTAAAAATCTCAAACCTCGAGCGCTTTTGAATAGTTGACTATTTTTCTGCAGGAGAATAAAGGGTAGAATAAGCTCGTACGTCATAGTCGTAGTGTAAAATTAACAATCTAGGATTCTATTTCAGGTCAAGCCTAGTAAACTGTGACATTATCAACCAAGCCAACTACTACAAAGCGAGCCAGTGTTGTTCTTTGGCTCATAAACAACTGAAAGATGAATCCGTGTAGGTGTATGAAATGAAAGTTAATTAATATAGCATTTTCTTAATATGCATTAAAATGTTACTCCTGAAATATTACCCATTAAATCTAATGTTTATACAGAGATTGAATACATTATATTAAAATGATTTTGGAGCGTCACCATGTCGCCATGTTTGGTCATGCTAGATCAGATGACTGTGCATCTTGACAATAGTTTACATTGTCGTTTCTTTTGCAGAAGGCTCTGTCGTAAAGTGGTCGTGTTCAAACAACACAACTCTTCCATTTTGACTTTCGTTAATCTATCTAGTTAGTGTACAAGGACAACGGTTTCTTAGCTCCTGTTTCAACAGTCCGATCTCATAGAAATCCATAGGCACTGTGTGTGGGTACTTAACCAGTGTGTCTTTGAATAGAATAGCATCAATACCCATTTCATTTTCTAGTTGTTTGAGATAACTGATGGTTGAACAGGAGGTATGACTGGAAGGCTTAATTTAGTGAACCCATACCCTGTTGACCTCGTTTCTAAATGGATATCCTTCCTGGTTGTGTTGCACACTGTTAACTGGGGCATATAGACGACTTTTGCTACTGATCTTTGTGTTCTAGGATTCTTATCTGTTACGAAATACCACACTTTGCTTACCATGGCTGGATTACGATTTACAGCAGGCCTCTTTATGGATAGTCATGATACCCCAAATTGATCCATAATCCTTTGTTTTACAATTCCAATAAGTGTGTAATCAAGGACAGTACTATTTTTCTGCTACTTCCTTAGTTAAGATGTTTTCAAAGTTACTGTTTTTTTTTCAGGATTCTTAACTTGAATGCGAGGAGTCGCTCAAATAACAATTTAACTTTCCCGGTTTTGAGAACGTTTGAGATATAGAATCACTAATTAGCAATTAACTGACTTTCATGAAGGGGAGATAGCACGTTTTGTCCAGAAATAGAAAGCTATATTTCCCGTCGGCGAATCGGATAAGTGTCTGGGCAGACTTGCCCTCACGCTCAACTCGCAGTGAACCCAGATCTTGTATGTGAGGTGTATTTCAGTGCAAACTTGAATTTGTTTGCGTATTGAGGTCATTGTGTAAAAAGCTAAGTTTGTTCCTATAAGGGAGATGTTTTTAAACGAAGGATTAGAAGGTTTGGAAGAGTTATTGTAACGGATTTGACGGTGTAACATAGTAAGACACATTGTTAACCTTTTATTATTTTGATTTCTTAACTTGGGTGGGTTGACTGACCTTTTTAATTCCTTATTATAACTTTAATTTTTACTCAGAGAGGAGAACTGTTTGCTTAAACTTTAGATAGAGATGTCTAAGTATTTATATTCTTCTATATTTTGTTTAGGTTTTGCTAATATTTTGAACTGTAGTATATACTCAATATTGGGTTTTGTTTAAACGTAACTATTAATTTTCACTTCAAGTTTAGGGTTTAATTTAATTTACGGGGCAGATCGAATAAATTCTCCACCATACTGTTATCAGTTCGACAGGCGTCACTGAATGCTTGCCCTAGTTGTTGTTGTTTTGCATCTGTCAGTGTAAAGTCATTCTTCTAGGAGATCCCAGTTGTAGACTGGACAATTCAATAAACTCGGTACTCTGTAGTCCAGTATTCTCCGAAGTTCCAGTTAGTGGGCCTACCGGACTGCTCTGCGGGAAAACCATTTTGCAAGGGAAATGTCACAAGTACAAGGGATATCCCCGTCTTGGAAAAATCTAAATTTCCGACTTGAACATATTCTTATTATCTATGATATATGTGTGTGACTATTTTGCGTCGGAGAAAACTTTTACATAATTTCCCCAAGTGCAACCAATTTTCTGTTGCGTCACACTACCTACGAAACACTAGATAATGCCAAAATGTTGTTCTGATACATTCCCGCTCCACCGTGACTTTATATCGGCTGTAGGTGGCACATGACTTGCTGACTTGCTTATTCAAAATCATTTTAATATAGCGTACTCAACACTATGTAGAAACACCAGGGAATTAATAGTTTCAATTCCAACACAACCTCAATCATTATCATGAACTGTTTTCAGCCCCCGTGGCGCCTAACCAACACCTTCTAGTAAGTGTCAATTCCACAAGCATGGTTTTCCACTTAAAAGCCTGGTCTGACGGCGGCTGTCCGATACATCATTTTATCCTTCAGTATAAACCACTGGGTCACACAGAGTGGATCTTGGTGAGTTCAGAACTGTATCCTGAACAAGAAACGGTCATCATTAGCATGCTGATTCCCGGAAGTTGGTATCTGGTCTTGATGTCCGCTATAAATACTGCAGGTATCACAGAAGCCGAATACAGGATAGCTACGCTCACGGTTTCTGGAGGTAAGGCCTAATATTGGATTCTACTTTAAGGGTAATTACTTGATATAATTGTTCGGATCTATAACGTTATAAATGATTTATCTATAAAGCTACAGCGTTAATATCCATAATTATGATGGTTAAAGAATTACAAGTATAGAAATTAATAATAGCAGTACGTAAATTAATTACCCATTCTCCCAAAAGGAACAATAATTTTCGACTTATCTAATATTTGTAAGTTCTATCATCTTTATATTGTATTAGCATTATTTTGTCTCAAAACGTAAGTAGGACTCTGTAGTAGCAGTGTATCATTAAATCAGGATTAAGGTTTAAATTTAAATCGCTTTTTGTTAATTAAACGTCATCAATGTTATCTGAGAGAATTCGATTTTAAAACTAAAGAATTTAAAATGTAGCTTTATTAGGTCATAGGGCACTTAATAATCTCTAGCGTATTTCTATTTCTACGGATATTGTTAAAATCAGACCATATGTTGTCTAGCAACTGTAGTACCAGAGACAACTTCTAAACAGAGTGAAAGAAGTAGATACCGCAGCTTGTATGTTATCATTCCTGTCTGTTGTGCTGCTGTCGTGTTGACCGCTGTGACACTGTCTGTCTTTCTGGTAGTCTGCCGGCGACGATCCTCCTCCTCATCTAACATATACGAAGGTGCGTAATGCCTACTTAATGATAATCAGAAAATGCCAATGTAGTTTTATTTTTATCAAACTAACCACTCATACGTCACAATACTTCACACATTTACTATACTTTAACCTGAATAAAACCTAAAAAAAAGACGATTATATGATGTTTATATTATTCTTATTTTAATAGCAAATATTGTAAGGAAAACTAAGTTTATATTAAAACAATCGGGTAGTTACAAAACGCCAAAGAAATAAGGTTCATTAGGCCTGTTATGTGTGAAGAAAAATCAGAATATTAATATCCACTGACGTTCAGCTCATTGTGGTCGCCTTTTCTTTTAAACCGAACAATGTTAATTTATTGTTGTATATTATGCCCATTTGTAAATATAGTAACCGTGAGTTTCACAATAATTATGGGGGAAGAAGTAAAGTTTAAAATAAACTTCGTGACTTGTGACAGACACAGGTAGGATGGATATTCCATTTTCATATCTTTGATTTGAAATCCTTCAATGAATAATACAAAGGAATAGAATATCGAGAGAGAAAAAGCGTCTCGCACATGAAATGAAAATAAACAAACAGAGAGACTGAGAAATAAAAATATAGCTATAACTTATTTAATTGCTTTTGATTTCAGGGGTTCGGCATAGTGAAGATCCAAAAAACGAAACTTTAGTAATGACAGAACTGGAAAAACAATGTGGAGACATAGGAGAACCCACCTACTTTCCCTCACCTTATGCGATGACGAAAGTTCCCGTTCTACCCAGAGAGGTCGCTATCAGAGAAGGAGAAGGTTTTCACGGATCCACCAGAGGGTCGGGAAATAACTACGATGTTCCTCAGCCTGTAAGATCATCCCTAATATAATGTTTTAAATTATACTCGGCTATAATTTCAACCACGAGGTGGTGTAAAAATGAACTGTTCGCATGTCATTGCTGCAGAAAATCCCGCTCCGCACTTTATAACCGTGGGTGCGTTATAAAAAAGACAGTCAAAGCCCACTATACGATTATAGTAGTCCAGGAGTTGACAGTGGGTGCTTTTGACTCAGCTGGCTTCCCTCTTGTTTGTCAGTTCAAATTTAGGGACGGCTAGTGTAGATAGCTGTTGTGTAGCTTTGGGCGAATTTCGAAAACAATCCAACAAGCACTACCGCTGACATACTCATTTGTCAAAATGCACCTGTACGTTTTTCTGTATTTTGAGTATCGAAATATACACAGAAGTTTCCATAAATAGTTCAGGCCTGTACACAGAACGTTTGAAAGGGGGAGCCAACACATAGTGTGCGAAGCACAATCAGCATGCATGCAAAGCATGCTAATGCTACGGTGGTCTGGGGGGGGGGGCATGCCCCTAGAAAATATGTAAAAAAGTAGGTGCTATGTGTTACGTATTACAATTTTGAATGGTCTGAAATCGAGCTAAATGATAATTTAAATTTATTAGTTAAATAAATGTCGATATATATCCAATTTATAATATTTGCCAACAATATTGATACACACAGTTTTAATTTTTTAATACAAATATATTTTAATACACAAACAATAATACAATGTACAATAACGGTTATTACAAATAGTTATTACAAACAATGATTTAT